AATAATAATAATAATAATAATAATAATAATAAATAAAGTCAAGGCTAAGTTGAAAAAAGAGAAAGACAAAAAGAAAGGAGAAGAGATAATTTGAATAAAATAACACAAGTAGCACCCGTGGTATTTGTTCATTGTTTGCCCCAAGCTACATAAGGGCAGGGATGTTGGTTTGTTCTATCCCCTATATTTCTCTAGTACCTAGAACAATGCCTGGCACATAATAGGTGCTTAATATTAGTTGAATAAATGAATAGCAAAAATTAAGACTGCCAATTTCAAATGTATGAATTTGGGGAAATACTGAAGTAACATGTATAAAACTCTCAGTACAGTATGTGGCACACAGGAAGTACTCAAAAATATGCATGGATATGTTTATTAATATACATTATTATTATTTAGAAGTGAAACAGGCATTGTGGCCAAATGCTAACTAGCAAAGTGTTAAAAGATTTGCCCAAAGCTGAATATTACCTTCTTAGAATGAATTTCTGTAATTTAAGAACAAATCTGAAAGTGTTTTAAATAGTTATTACTATTGGCTGGGCGCGGTGGCTCATACCTATAATCCCAGCACTTTGGGAGTCTGAGGCAGGCGGATCATGAAGCCAGGAGATCAAGACCATCTTGGTTAATACAGTGAAACCCAGTCTGTACTAAAAATACAAAAAAATTAGCTGGGCATGGTGGCAGGTGCCTATAGTCCCAGCTACTCGGGAGGCTGAGGCCAGAGAATTCCTTGAACCTGGGAGGCGGAGGTTGCAGTGAGCTGAGATTTCACCATTGCACTCCAGCCTGAGTGGCAAGAGCAAAACTCCGTCTCAAAAAAAAAAAGTTATTACCATCATAATTCTATTATCCACAATTTTAGCAGGAAAATGTTTCAGGTTGAACACCTTACTGAGGGATCATTTATCTGCTTTGTCAGCTGTTAATTTGCTCCTATAGTCCATAAGTTCCTAGGGCAGTTTTAAGATGTGGCCCCAAATTTTTTGACCTGCCTTCCACCACCAAAGGGTGGAGTCTCTGTCCCCTCCTCTAGAATCTGGGCAGGTTTGTGATTGCTTCAGCCGACAGAGTAGAGCAGAAATGAGGCTGAGGTGTAAAGGGCAGTGTCTCCTGGAATGCTCACTCTGGAGCCCTGAGCCACCAGGTGAGAAGTTCAGATGTCTTGTGGTAGCCATATTGAAAGGAAGCCCAAGTCAGCCAGACAGACAATGAGTCCAGCTACCAGCTGAGCCCAGCCTTTAAGTCATCCCAGCCCAGGTACTAGACTTGTGAGTAAAAGGCCTCCCTTTGGGAGACCGAGGCAGGAGGATCACTCAAGCCGGGAGTTCAAGACCAGCCTGGGCAACATGGTGAAACCCCATCTCTACAAAAAAAATGTAGAAAACTCTAAAGGCTCCACCAAAAACTGTTCAAACTAATAAGCAAATTAAATAAAGTTGCAGGATTCAAAATAAAAAAAAAAAAAAAATCAGTTGGGTATGGTGGTGCACACCTGTAGTCCCAGCTATGGGAGGCGAAGTTGGGAGGATTGTTTGAGCCCAAGTGGTAGAGGTTGCAGTGAGCCATGATCAGAACACTGCACTCCAGCCTGGGCAACAGAGTGACACCCTGTTTCAAAACAAACAAATGAAGCTTCCCTATTCCAGTCCCTGTTCCTTTAGGCTTTCTAGCTGAGGACCGGGTTATCATGGAGCAGGGGCTGTTCCCTGTCCAACTTTCTGAGTCACAGAATCCATGAGCACTTACTGTACCCACTAGCTTTGGGTGGTTTGTCATGCAGCAAGAGCCAAAACAGCTCCTGGCTTCATAACTGCAGGACTGAAAGTGTTATTTTTTATGCAGAAACTAAAGTCCATCTCCCTACTTATGCTGCTATCTGAATGTTTGCAATAATTATTTCCGAATATAAAATGAATGACCTTCACCATCATTGCTAATCATGGCCACGATTTTATGTATGAAATAACCGTTGTGGCAGAGTAGCTGTATATTTCTCCTTCAGCCCGACTGGGAGAATGCCAACGTATAACCACATACGGAGCTATCGCTTCCAAGTGACATCCAGAAAGCTTTTCCATATTTGAAAGGGAATATGTAGATATAAATGCTAAATAGGAATGTAAAACTTGGCTTGGGTTCCTGGTGTAGTTGCATTCATTCCGTAAGATGGGTCAAATATTTCTGACTCTGAGTGGCACCACAATGACATGGAAGTAATTTTCATATTCAGCTTTTCTGAAGACCAAGATCCTGGCAGGACCTCAAAGCAACCTTGTGACTGTTATGATTATTTTTTCTAATATCTTCCTGGCTCCTTGGGGTGAGTGGCAAGGTTGCTGGGAGCAGGAGGAGAAACTCCTGCTCACGGACCCCTGGCATACAAGGGAATCTAGTGAATGGCTGTTGAGTGTGTTAAAACGTGCGCTCTGAATGAAGAGACCCCCCCCAAATAGGCTTTGTGTGAGCAACATGGCTGTTTATTCACCTGGGTTCGGGCAGTCTGAGTCCGAAAAGAGAGTCAGCGGAGGGCGGTGGGATAGGAGTTGGGTTTGTAGGTTTGGAGTAGGCAGTGGAAAGTTACAGAAGTTATAGTTTAGGGTGGTTTTTGCAAGCTAGAAGCAGGTTGTAGGGTCTGGAGTCAGGAGGTCAGTTACAAAGTCCAATTCCCTTATCAATTGAGGTGGGAATAAGGAAAAATAGAAGAACATGTCAAGTTAATTAGGCGCCGCTGGAGTTGATCATTCTTCCCCTTTCTGTGGTCTTCCAGTTACTTCAGATTTTCCAGGAACTCACCAGGAGTGTCTGTGCAGGTCACAGGGGTTACCATGATGTCCTTGGCGCTGTCAGTCAGCGTAAAAGGCCTTACAGAATGTATCACAATCTCCCCAGCCCCTCCACTCCTCCAAGAAAGCAATAATGCAGATGGAACTCAGAATGGCTGTCAGAGGTGTTTCAACCAGAGCAACTCCACCTTGAATAGGGCCTGGGTAAAATAAGACTGAGACCAGCTGGGCCGCATTCCCAGGAAGTTAAGGCTTTCTAAGTCAGAGGATGAGACTGGAGGTCGGCATA